TCCAACCATTCATCATCATCCTCTGAAAGTGTTTTCAATGATGATTCAAAATCAAAAGGTTCAAAAGATAAATCTGTGATCATTAAGGGTCAATCAGGATTGTAATGACCTGGGTCTCCAAATCTAAATAATCATGCTCATTTTGCAAGGACAGTTGCAGATGGATGACTTCAGACCTTGGTATGTCGACAGCGGCTGCTCCCGACATATGACAGGAGACATCTCCTAGTTGAGTGACATTCAAACTTTTAATCGGGGATACGTTTCTTTTGCGGGCGGAGAAGGCGGAAAATCACTCAGAAAGGAACTGTGTCGAATGGAGTGCTTAGTTTCGAGAACGTCAACTATGCTCCCAAGTTAAAGCATAGCCTGTTGAGCGTCTCCTAAGTTTGTGACAAGGGTTATTCAACTCACTTCACTAATAAGGAATGTATGATTCTGAAGCCAGGCATTGTCATCGCAGATGAGTGGATTCTTGTTAAATCAAAGCAGGATGGAAATGCATACATCATCGACATGAATAGCAACATTCCTGAACAAGTCACCTAATAGACTTCATTACTTTCAAAAAGTGTATGTCATTTACCAAGGAAAGCATCACAGAATACCACACCTACCAAAACATGTCAATTCAATCGGACAGGTGCTCCAATTATTGCATATGGACTTATTTGGTCTGGTCAATGTCCTTAGCATCAACATAAATCCGTACTGTCTGGTTGTGATTGATGACTTCTCGCGTTTTATGTTGGTCTTTTTCTTATCCAATAAAGTTGGGGCATCTGATCTGATTAACAAGTTTTGTGATTTTTGAGAACCAAACGAATCACCGGGTGAAGGCACTTCAAACTGATAATGGAACAGAATTCAAGAATGAGGTTCTTAATCACTTTTACGCAGAAAAGGGAGTTGTGCATCAATATAGTTCCGTTCGCACACCTCAACAAAATGGTGTTGCTGAGTGGCGATATCGAACAATGCAAGACGCTGCGAGGACGATGCTTTGTGACTCCAAACTACCTGATTTCTTTTGGGCTGAGGCGATAAACAATGCTTACTATGTTCAGAATCGTGTTTTGATCAACAAATCCCAGATGAAGACTCCGTACAAAATTCTTTATGGCTACAAGCCATCGGTCAGTTACTTCCGCGTATTTGGTTGCCCTTGCACCCTTCTTCACTTGGAGTCCAACCTGAACTTCAATGCCAAAGCCGATGACTATTACTTCATGGGGTATGCTGCTCACACTGTGTATAGGGTCAACAACAAGAAGACAATGTAGATAGTAGAATCCTTTTACGTGGACTGGTTAGAGGAGAATGAAACGAATGCTAAAGTGGGTCCTGATTGGCTATTTGATTACACATCTATATTCAAATCTTTCAATGTGATTTCAGATGGTTTATCTGGTTCTTCTTCTAGTTCGAAGACTATACTTGAAGATGAAGACGAAGAAGTTTTTTACAGACCACCGATGGTGTCTTCTTCGATTCCTACGGTGGAGTCATCTGTTGAAAGAGAGTTTATGTCCAGAGATGCTTCCACTGCTACTCAAACCTTTATGGAACTACTCTTTCCTTAACAAATTGCTAATGAGTTTGTGGCAAATCCATCTAACGAGATAGGTTCATCTGAAGTGGATCATTCAGCAAATGATGAAGTTATCAACATTCACAATCTTCCTGTATCACTCAATGATATCAGCCAGGAGATACCTTCAAGAATTCAACACGATCATCCGATCGAAAACGTCATTGGCTAGCTGGGTAGAACGCGGAGTCAGAGTGGAGATGTAAATACATGTCTCTACTCTTGCTTCATATCTCAAATAGAGCCAAAGAACATTGAAATGGATTTGAATGAGCCCAGTTGGGTAGATGCTATGCATGAAGGACTTAATCAATTTGAAAAGCTAGGGGTTTGGTCGTTGGTTGAGTTACCTAAGGGCAAGAAGTCTCTTCACATACACTGATGGTTACGAGTTTCTTTTATTATTTTCGTATCGGTTACAATATGATAAAGTAAAAAACCCGAATAACACACACAACCACCCTAGTGGTGTTCGATGGTGGTGCATGGCGGCAACCACCACTTCACGGTGGTAGTGGTGGCTTTTTCTTGGTTTTTCTGCTAGACAAAACACACGTAGATACACTTCAGATAACAATATACACTCAAGTCACCCACCTGGTAGCTCACATTGGCGACATCAACGAATTTAGGATGGCTGCCACCACCTCACGGTGGTGGCGGTGATTTCTTTTTGTTCCCAGTCAAGTAGCCACACAAACCAGCAGCCCTTGCTCAGAAAGTGAACCCAACACCCACCTATGGTGGGCGGCAACGACAATAGCAATATATGCGGTGACATCGGCGGTGCTTCAATGGTGATTTGGCATCCAGTGGCGGTTAGCGGAAGAAGAGAATAAGAAGAGTGGTGGTAGCCGACTTCGACCAATGGCAGCGGTTCCTAAGCAGCTCGCTTCTCCGACAAGAAGGTTGCGACGTCCGATGATAGATGCATCTCCGCACAGCAGCAACTGCAGTGACATGCGGCTGTGTTGCATTCCTCCATACTCATGACTGAAATGACGAAACCCCCGGCGATTTTTGTCTTCAGCCTCCAATAGAAGATAGCAACAACAGTCCTCGACATGGCGATGGCTACGGTGATCGGAGGAGCAAGAGGGTGGTGGCCGGTACTCTAGAGGAGGGTCATGAGATGGTGGCGACTGAACAACATAACTAGGGTTAGGGTTATTAACAGATTATATACCCACCTCCATCCTAATGTTTTGCCATAATGATGCGAATTGCCCCTCCCTTCAGAAATATTTTCGAAACTAACCCATTAATTTACCCTTTCAGCCCTCAACATTAAAATCCATTACAATTCAGGTATAATATTTACAAATTACACCCCTGCTTCCACAATTCCTCTGAAATTCGATCCCTAATTTACCAAACAGCCGTTAGCATCCAAAATCTCTTCAAATGAAGTCCCAGAAATTACACTTTAACCCCCGAATAATCCAAATTATGACATTCGACTCCCGAAAACTAGCACTCCAATAAATAATATAGATTTAGGGCGATTATTCATTCATCAACTTTATCTATTTATTTATTTGATAAACATTATGTTACGTAATAGTTAATATTGGCTAACTAAAATGGTCCAAAATGACATAAAAATAAACAAATTTTTCTATAAATATTGAAAAACACAAAGTCTATCATTATAAAAAGCGAATGATTGTGTATATATCACTGTATCGATAAAAGATTACTTATGTAACTACAAATAATTACCCCTTAAAATTTTCAATATCTAATATAACTACATACTATATATTTAATATCATATTATATAAAAATAATTTTTAATATTATTGGTTCGGTTCGGTTTATAATGGTTCGATTTTTGATGAAAACCATAACCGAACCATATATGTTCGATTAATATCTTCACCCCTAATGACTGATTCACATAATCACTTCTAAGAGCATCTCCGATGGTTAACCCATGTTATAACCTAAAGTTACTGTCACTTCATCATCTATTATTTTTTTATATCTAAATAAATTACTTCTCTAATAATTAAACTTATTTTAATATTTTTTTCTATAAATTTAACTAATTTACCTTTGTCTTTCTAAAAGATCTTAGAGAACATCTAATTTAATTAATGTATTTTTAAACATAAATCATATCTTAATATAAAAATATATAGTACAATTATATCGAGTCTTTATTAATATAACTAAAATATAAAAAATTATTATGTTTTAGTTATAAAAATACAACAAAAGCATTGACAATATTTTAAATTAGTTATAAAATGGCATATCTATAAAATGAAAGGGGTTAAAATATACAAGTAATCATACAATATTAAGCACTCAATATATATTAAGTGGTCAAAATAAAGAAGCAAAAAAGTAGTTTGTTCCAATGATTTTAAGTGCTCATTTGAAAAAGTAAATATTAATTCACTATAAAAAATCTCCCATTGGAGATGCTTTAAGGTTATAGGAATGGTAACACTCCTAACATCTTCTCGCATCGAATTTTGGAATGCCACCTCATTTTTTACCATTTAACACCTAATCTTAGTATTTGGTACCGAGTAGTAACACTCTTAACACTCCATATTTTTATTTTTAATTTAATTTTTCTAATTTAACTAAATTAATCTATTTTAATATAAAAACATTTGTCACGCATAAATATTAAACAAATTTTATGCACATGATACAAGCTTTTTTGTGGTTGACAAATAAGTTTCCTTTAACTTTTAAAAACACATAATCAAAATGGCAAACTTTATTGTGCACAAACAAATGAAATTCCTTAATAACAAATTTATTAACATAAAATAGATAAATTAGCAATAAATGACAATAAAATAACTTACCACAAACGTGTTAAAGTAAAATAAAGGACTTACATATACAATTAAATTAAATAACTCAATTACATATCAAGTAATTTAAATTTTATAATTTTCACACCAACAGATTTTCGATTATTTAGTGTTGGCGAATTTAAATTCTATAATTTTGTATTACGGAGCAAGAACAATTCAGTGCTATGGTTGCAAGTTGCGACTCCCGCACATTTTTGAACAAATCAAATGCCACTGAAAAAAGGTAACGTTAATTGACCATGTCACATATGAATATAGAAATGTTAGCTGGGTCTTGGCTTGACGTTTCAGAATGTTCTATAAAAATACGGAAGACGGCTTCTTTGAAGTTTTCTTGTCACCACCTTACCTGTCGAGATTAAAAAAGATAAAAACTCTTATTTTAAATTTTTAATCTCACCAGCTAACCCAAGAACAATTCATCTCAATAAAAAAAAAAATAATAATAAAAAACTTTACCCTTTTTCAATAATCCTTAATTTCTGGTAGATGGTTTAGTTGAGCAGGCTTCCTCTCACTATTTATTTAATCGTTAACAACAAATCCTGCAACTTTTTTCTTCCGAAGTCATGAGCCATCTAATCACATACTTCCTTCTGGTTTTGATCCCTTACGCAACTTCAATTACCTTTGATTTGCCAAATATCCGCCCAGAAAATCAGAATCGTGACATAGTAACAGAGGGTGACGGAGCTTATATCTCCGACAGTGGAATCCAGGTGACCCCAGATGGGATTGGTTCTAATCGGAGCTTGAAAGCCGGACGAGCCAGATACATCAGACCTTTTCATCTTTGGGATAACGCATCTAATGAGGTCGCAAGTTTCTCTACAAATTTCACTTTTGTGATCGACTCAGACGGAGCTACAAACTATGCTGATGGCCTCACCTTCTTCCTCGCTCAAAATAACTCCGTCATAAGTGTTGGTGGTTCCATGGGGCTTCCATTCAACTCCACAACCATGGTTGCGACAAATCCATTTGTTGCTGTGGAGTTTGATACTTTCCCGAATCAAGATTGGGATCCAAGAGACTCCAACAATACCCGAATAGGCGATCATGTAGGTATCAGCATTAACTCTGTTGCTTCTGTTAGGTATCAGAGATGGTTAAGTAATATAACTAGTGGAAGAGTCTGTCAAGCTTGGGTTACATATGATTCTGTTTCAAATAATCTTAGTGTTTCCTTCACTGGTTTTCTAAATAATACAATCGTACGTCAAGTAGGACTTATGTACACGGTTGACCTCAGGAACGTGTTACCCGAATGGGTAATTTTTGGGTTTTCAGCAGCAACTGGAGCTCTATTTGAGAAAAATAATGTGAGGTCTTGGAGTTTCAGTAGTTCAGAATTACAGGTTGACAAAAACAACCAGATTCCACCCAGCCCAGATGACAACAACAGCAAAGTGGGATTAGTAGTTGGATTATCGGTTGCAGTTACTTTTCTAGTTGTGCTTGGCTTTGTTTTATGGAGGTGGAAGAAGAAGAAAAGCAGGGAAGATGAACATGAAGATGAAGAATCTGGATTTGATATGGAAATGAACAATGAATTCGAAATGGGCACCGGGCCTAAAAGATTCTCTTACCAACAATTAGCTCAATCCACCGGTGAGTTTTCAGAGAACCAGAAGCTTGGTGAAGGAGGTTTTGGTGGGGTTTATAGAGGTTTCTTGAAAGATTCCAACGCGTATATTGCAGTGAAAAGGGTGTCAAAGAGTTCAAAACAGGGGATCAAGGAGTATGCATCGGAAGTAAAGATCATTAGCCGATTAAGGCATAGAAACCTAGTCCAACTCATAGGTTGGTGCCACGAGAAAAGTGAACTCCTCCTTGTTTACGAGTTTATGGAAAACGGAAGCTTAGATTCACATCTCTTTAAGGCAAAAACCTTATTGACATGGGGAACAAGGAACAAAATCGCACATGGTCTGGCTTCAGCGTTGTTATATCTACATGAAGAATGGGAACAATGTGTTTTGCATAGAGATATCAAATCGAGTAACCTGATGTTGGACTCAAATTTCAATGCCAAGCTTGGTGATTTTGGGTTAGCCAAGTTGGTTGACCATGAGAAGGGCTCACAGACCACAATGTTGGCTGGAACCTTGGGTTACATGGCTCCTGAATGTTTAGTAACCGGAAAGGCAACCAAAGAATCAGATGTGTTCAGCTTTGGAGTTGTTGCACTGGAAATAGCTTGTGGGCGAAAAACAATTGAGTACAAGGCTCCAGAGAATCAAATAAGGTTAATCCAATGGGTTTGGGAGCTCTATGGGATAGGGACACTTTTAGAAGCAGTGGATCCAGCTCTTGGGTTAGATTTTGAGGAAGAAGAAGTAAAGCGGTTGATGATCCTTGGGTTATGGTGTGTGCACCCTGACTCAGATTTTCGTCCATCAATGAGACAAGCAATTCAAGTACTAAACTCAGAAGCATCCCTACCTATACTCCCCTCAAAGATGCCTGTGGCATCTTATTTTACCCCTCCCTTGTCTTCATTATATGGTGTCACTTCCATCGTCCAAAACCAGTCGTCAAGTAGTGTCTTTAACACGGATTCCTCAAAGCAAACTTCATCAACAGCAAGTTCTTCTTCTCCATCTGTTTCATTATTACATTCTATACATTGACATGCATATAGTGTTGTATATTGATACAAATTAGGGATTTTGAATGATATAGTTTGGAGTTTATTATTATTCTTCTAGGGTCATTGAAATTATTATTGACAATTGCATAGAGCAAGAAAATCTGAAGATATGATAGAATTATATGAATTGATTACATAACATATGTAATCTACATTGGTAATCTATTAATTGATTATATTAAAATGACCTGACGACGCTAAATTCACCAAAAGCATATCATATTTTACAGACATATCTTGCTTTAATGCAAACTCTTTTTTTTAGTCAATTGTCACACTTTATTGTCACATTAGGACTTTATACACACTAACAATCCTCCGTTGTTTAGAGGGATCACACACCGTACACTCTCTCATTCTACTTAAGCGTATCATACTTTTCGGACATATCTTACTTAAGGTGTTTGTTTGGTTTTAATTTTGCCTCTTAAATCGCTCAGAGTAATTATTTTTGTCTCCAAAGCATTCATACATAAACCTATATCAAAATCATTCAAATGCAAACAATTTCCACCCATTACCCTAACCTCCTGACTCTCATGGACACCAACACCATCATGCATCGCCACCCAGTTCCATCCTTCTCTACCACCAGCGCCGCCGTCCTCTTTCCTTGTAGCCATGACGCCATCAACTTCATTCCGCATAACAACAATCTTCCATCCTTTTTCTTGATAAGAGTCTTACTTGAGCTATTTTTTTAACGGTAATTTCTTTAGCTAATGAAAAAATGTGTCTTTTAAGGAGCTCTAAATAAAGCATGTAGGCAGGAGGTTTGCTTCTTCCACTTTGGATTATTTTGTGATAACCAAAAACCATTGGACTCAAACAATAATACAAGTACCTAGTTTTTTGACTGCAAACTTGACTAAAAGCGATACAGTTTGGATGTGTGTTTGGAATTCATTATTGGACTATTGTAGCTTCAAGTCACAATAATCAATTTGTAGTGTTTGGGAGAGCCAACATTTCCCTATGCACGAATTGGAATGAAACCAGATATGGTATTTATAAGTTATTATAATGGATGATCAAAGTCTTTACCATAATCCACATATAGACGTCCCTTCAAAAACTTCTATGACAATACCCTTATGCTTGTAACAATGGTTACAATTTTAGAAATCATCATCATTTTTTTTATTTTATTTATACTAACAATCAAATAATACATACATGTATTACTTGATGATTGATGAACTTCCACCTTCTTTTTATCACATCCTTCCCTAAGTTATGAATAATCTAATTTGCATCCATCATCATATCCGTTCCACCCCATCATCTTCTTTCCCATATGAATAAAAACAAGATGTTACTGATAATTTCTAGAAGATGATATTTATTCTTCCACATTAGAGAGGTGGAAACTCTCCAAGGGTCAGAGACCTTTTACAAAATTCTTCTCTACCTTAACAATGGAATAAACTAACTATAAATACTCTCCAAGTTTGGACCACGAGGTAGACAACATAACAAGATCAAAAAAATTGTCTCCTCAATCAAAATTGGTCAACTTATAGAGATAGTGGGAGTGACATAATTATTTAGCATATTAAACCATAAAGGACATTTCCGAGCATACTCCAAGGAGCTGATTGGTTGGTATCACAGGTCCATGGTGGAACTTGCTTTTGGACCTATCATTCTTCTACAAATCTTAGTTAGTGGGGTTTATCACACCATCCGCCCAAACTTTCATCTTGTCCTCAATGTGAAAAATCTGGCAATTGCTCTGTTATATCAGAAAAGTATTTCCATGTTGCCTCAACATCGGGCAGTCCTTCCTATTGGATTAGAACTTAAGGCTCATTAGTCTTGCTTCCTTACCTGTTTCGAACTCCGTTGAAGGACTTAGGCTTAACCATTAACTCAAATTCAACATCTAGCTGCAATTGTATCTCTGTTACTATTTCAGGAACTTCAAAAGCAGGGCGAAGTCGTGAAACATGAAAAGTAGGATGAATCCTTGCTGATGATGGTAACATGAGCTTGTAGGTGACTTTTTCCATCTGCTTCTCACTCTTAAATGACCCATAATATCTTGTAGCAAGCTTCTCATATCGCATTCTAGCTAAACTTTGCTTCCAGTGAGGTTTGTGGTTGAAATAAACTAATCCCCCTTCTGGTAATTTAGTCCTCTTTTGGTCAGCCTAAAATTACATCTTTTCCTGGTCTCTTAAGAGGTTCATCCAGAGATCATCAAAAATTGCATCTCTATCTTCTAACATTTTTTCAATTGAATCGATTACAATGGATTGCACTTCGTACCAGGTGATCGGGGGAAGATCTCACCCATATAAAGCCTAAAATAGGAGGCATTTGGTTGATGTACGATACGATGAATTATACTAAAGTTCTGCCCACAATAACCATTTGCCCCAACACCTCAGTTTCTATGAACAACAACAACTCATATATGTCTCCAAGCACCTGTTTACCACCTCCGACTGTCCATCTGTTTATGGGTGGTAGGCGGTGCTTCGTTTGAGATCCACCTTGTGAAGTCGAAAGACTTCTTGCCATAATTGACTCACGAATATCTTGTCCCTTTCATGATTATAGATATAGTTAGACCATGTAACCGAACGACCTCCTTCATAAGCTTGTTGGCTACGGTTGCAATAAAAATTGGATGTCGAAGTGGGATAAAGTGAGCATACTTACTAAACCTATCCACAACCACCCACATAGTATTCAGGGGCGGATTTAGGGTGGGTCACCGGTGGCACCGGCAACCCCTAACTTTTCCAGACGCAGTGGAAAAATTTTCGAAATTTTTAAAAATTTTTATTTTTTGTACTATCGTGCAACCCCTGACTTTCCCGTGCACCCCCTACTGTGAAATCCTGCGTCCGCCCCTTATAGTATTCCAACCCTAGGATCTCGGTAAGCCCTTTGATGAGGTCCATCGTGACTTCATCTAAAGTTTAAAAAGGAGGGGAATGGGTTACAGAAGACCAACATATAAAGTTGTGAGGGTTTTGTTTTTCTGAAAGACTTTGCATTTTTTTAGTATCCTCTATTGTGGTTGTTCTCATTCCGGACCAAAATACCTCCACAACGCCTCTCTTATATGTTTTCTTCTCTCTGGAATGACATCATATTGCCGAATCATTATATTCTTTAATGATCCGAGAAGAAGAGAATACTTATGAGGCATCACTAGTCTCCCTTTGAGATTAAATTCCCTTGCAACAGAGAAAATCGCTTATGCAGTTGTGGGTCTTCAACCAAATATGCCTTTATTTGAAGTTCATTTCTTGCAATATCTTCTTCAGTCTTATCCTAATTTTTCCAGAACCCCACGCTTAAATAGTTCCAACTTGCAATAGGATTTTTTTCTTGAGAGAGCATTCACTACCCGATTGCTTGCTCCAAGACGGTAGAAGATGTTAACCGTGAATCGTATTAATATAGTCACCCACCTTAATACTTACTCCCGACGACCTGCAACTCGAGGATGTACTTGAGATTTAATTGATCGGTGATGGTTTTCATAGGTTATAACTCATGTACAATGCAGAAAAATAATACTTAACAATTAAGGGTACATGCAACCTATTAGGACACATGTCTTCACATTGAAGGCAACATACTATGAAGTAGAAAGCCTACCCAAACCCTACAATAATCGAAATTCATAGGTTTAGGGTTACATACCTTTTAATTGTTATAACAAATAGTAACTTTGATTCCTTTTCGTAAAACCGGGAAAATGCTCTAAGTTAAATGGTTGAAAGTAAGTGCGGAAGAATTAACTTAACAACTAATATATAATACAATAAAGAAAGAACATAAGCATAAATGAATGACCATGTTGTAGAAAGAACAATCATCAATATATTAGATGTGTTCAGCAAGATTAGTATGAAAAGGTGTAAGGAGAACCGTAACCCATTTCCCCTTTTATAAACACAACCTAATGGCATAGATTATAATAAAGTACAACTTAAAGATCCTAATATGACTAAGTGATCTAGTCATTAACTAGTAATCATTACAACCCAACATATATTAACTCCTAACACAAACGAACAAAATATAAGTCAACTTCTTCTGATAAAAAAACAATCTTTTGATGATTCTTCCTTCGGAACATGCCAAGACTTCTTATTACTTCAACTTTGGACAACATCTTGTAGTTTGAGCTTCAGTGAAGGTCAATTCAAGGTTCAATAATCTCCCATTAAGTGACCGTAGCTTCCCTATTTTAATTTTCCAAGGACTTGTTCCCAAAATCAAATACCCTTTTAAAGAATCTTCTAACTGCAAATATCCATTGAATCTGTTTTACAACTTCCATCATTATCTCAGCTAATGCTTCAGGAGTTTCAAGGGCAACGTTCATGAGACTCTTAAGGAAGGAGTTTGAGCAACTATTTTTCTGGCTCAAACAAAAGAAGTGTTTCTTCTCATTCTTCTTCTACTTTGGTGCTGCTTTAACCTTCGGTGGTGTGACTTCAGTCCTGGGGGCTTTGCGTAAAGTTCTTACCGATGGTGGGGTATGATGATCCGGTTATGGTTCATCCGTATCCTTGATATATTGGGCAATAACTTCTGAATCTTGACCAATTAGATCCAAAAGAGCAGTAGGTAGACATTTAGAGGCGCTGAAGTTAGTTTGACCGTGTCTCACCCCGCTAAAGTGGAAGCACGGGGTATGGCAGTACAAAGGGTTTCATAGCAAAAGATACAGACAACACCAACCATAGTACTAAAAAACTTTACAATCTACAATACCTTTTGAACAATTTTTAAAGAAATTACAATGTATTAAATTAAAACAACACCTGCAAATTCTCCTATAAGTGACGTGTCCCTATGTGCTACTTACTTGATGATTCCTGAAAAAGCATGTAAAATGAGCGCTCAACTACCGAAATAGTTGGTGAGTTCACAGATTTATAAAAATAGTAGTATGTGGGTGATAATCAGAGTTTCAATAAAAGTTTTTTAACACCGTAAATTTCAAAACAA